TGCTACTGCTCAAGCTTTCCCGTCTTCTTATCCCCCTTTTGCGCTTTTTCATCCTTATCGTCCAGTTCCAACTTCAATTATACCCCCTATTTCCGGCCCCCCAATTCTTGGTCCTGCTTCAATGGTCCCTGATCTTCTAGTTTCAACTCGCACGCAATTGCAGGGCGTCGTTCTAGTACCGTTGACAAGCCCATGTTCATCCAAGCGGACAATGTCAGTTCATCCGTTTCTCTTTGTAGCCACGATCCTCGCTAATACTGGCATGCCTTAACATGCGCATTTTGTTTCAGATTGGCAGCACTTGCCCGGACACTGGAGACCCTGTCGATCGATATCTGCTGCTTATTATTTCTGCCACGTGTTGCGCATGCAGCCCACCGACTCCCGCGACGTGCCTTGTTTGCTCGCCCGGGGGTGCGGATGTAAGAAGAGTATGGGTGACCAAGCGATGACTTGCTCAAGAGGAATGAAACATAATTGCCCTCGGAAGTGTTTTTCCCAACGAGACAGCCGGCATTCCTTTTAGTGAGTCGGGGAGTCACACTATATCTGTTGGAGGAGCTTGCAATGATTGCTTACTGTTCCTGCCTCTTCCACTTCTTAAGCTATGCTGGCTTACCAGGCTTACTTGTCAGCACACAGGCTCCGCTTCAGGTTGTACCAAATAACCCGTCTGGTTACATTTCGGTCAGAATCGGCAGCGAGTTTTCTTATACTTGCAAACAGGTTCACTGACCTTTCGGATATTCAGTGATTGATGTGGTGGCGACTTATATTCATGACCAACGATAGGCGCATAACTACTGAAGTTAGTTTACGTATTGCAAAAGCTAGAACTGACTTGTTGGGTCTGCGACATCTGTGGCGCCAGAATAGGGTTTCTTCGGTCTGAATGTCCGCCTTTACAAGGTCACAGTCAGGGCCGTTTCACACTATAGGGGTAACACTGGCCCGTTCGATATGATGATTTGGGGCGCCTTCAAGTCTTTGATCATCGCTACCTGCGAAGAATTGCTGGTGTCGGATGGCCCCATCCTGTCCGCAACGATGATATATATATATATATATATATATATATATATATATATATATACAGAATCAGATTACAAAGTGCCATCGGAATCATGGCAAAGGAGGAAAACGTAATACAATAGCTGAAAACGAATTTTTAAGGTTTTAAACATGTCATTTTGTTTTTTCTTTGGTTTTTTTAAATATATATGCCCGACTAGACGTTAAAAAATGGTGCGGCTAAACAACACTGTCACCACTGATGTCTTTTGCGCGCCATGACTTCCATCGTTGCCCACCAATGACAGTCCGAGTCGCGTGGTCCCTATGTTGTAAGGTTGAGTGGTCCAACGGAATCTAAGTTTGAGGTTGCCTTCATTATGCTCCTTCGCCACGTCATTGGTTGCCCACCGCTGCCCTTTTTCCAATGGCTCCCGGGGAGCGCAAATAAGGCTCGATGAAGAAAACAATAGGTTGACATGCGTAATATCTGGCCGAGCCAACGCATGCGGTGTCAGATAATAACGTATTGTAGGCAGCAGCATAGATAAGTTGGAATATGTTTATTGGTGAATCCGGTTGTTCAGCTGCACTTCAAGCTTCGTTTACATAGAGCCATCAGAAACCATGGGACTCAAAAGAAAGTACAGATATAGTAAAAGAAAACACAAGACAACACATCAAAGTCCATGGTTTCGTCAGGGGACGAGATACTACACGGTTGCCCAAGCCGAAGTAGGGTGTTGACTTAGGGAACACCACCCCGAGCATTTGGCTGAATAGATTGCCTGCAAGGCAACGGAGCAAATTCAGGGAATCGCGCCCATTAGGAGCCGATGACTGATTGCTTAGTTCATACGCCTTTCGTTTGTTCCTTTGTCAAACAGGGGCCCAATGCTCCCCAGAATTACCGCATAAAGTTGCTGAAATACAAAGCTTCATCAGGATGAAGCAAGGGGCAGTGACTTTATTTACTGGCGAGTCACGTCCGCCACGTCACAGTGTTGTTAAACGGACATATGTGGCTTTTTATAGGGTGAACCCTTGCCAGACGAAAACCCACAACGTTCTGGAACACTGCCGCCGAACTATTTGCTGGAACGGGAAAATACCGAGCCACCCAGCTTGCAGCACGATGAGGTTGTTCGGCAAGCCAGCCAATGATGTGTGTAAATGAGTACTAAGCAGTGATAGGCATGCTAGTTACTTAAAACGGCAGGTAGCACTGAATAAGCTGCTTTGGCTTGGGCGCTTACTACATATGCCCGAGCCGTTGCAGAACATGACTCGAAGTGGGCGCCAGTGGCGTATCTACTGTCGTCTCGTAGTCCGACTCTGTTTAAAGTGTGTTTGCTGCAGTATTATCTGCAGGGTAATGACTAATTATTACTCAAGGCAGTGAAAGCCGCAAGATATCTGTTTCGCCGATGCCACCTTATCTCCTTATGATGGCCAGCTGATTGCGACAGTTTGTTGTTGGCAAGGTGTGGGCACCTTAACCCTGAATATTTGTTTGGGACATTAAAGTTTTACCTTAGGTCCACCTTCTCTGCCCCTCATTATTCTCCTTTCGGTAGACCAATGTGGTTGTAAGGCAGTGAGGCATCCATCTAAATGGCTGATGTAGTACTATTTTTTCTTGTGGTTTGCTTCTCAGATCACGAAAAATTGTTTTCTGTTTCGGCTCGATGCATGTCGGATGGCTGAGGAAAACCTGTTTTTCCAGCCATATATTGTCCACAATATTTCTGCACCCAATACGGCTTTTCACGCCAGCTTAACTGTTGCTCGCCGGTTCGGACACTGCCTTGAGCCCACTTTGCTCGGGTTGCTATTAAAGATACATATGGCCCATATCTGAAATAAAATTTCTTATTGTGCACAAGCATACCACTCTCTCTCTCCAGACACCAGCGAAGATCTAAAACAAAGTTTATCGCTTGTCACTCGACCCATACTCAGCGATATATGAACGAATCGGTTTGGAATTAGAGCGAAAATTGGTTGCTCAGGTGGCAGTCGCACTGTTCGCTGAGTTTGGCAATTTTGTAGCAAACGTTTCGTCACCATTTGAGGTGGGATCAACAGTGCGTTGTTGAGCAGCTTGTAGCAAGTAGGGCAGCGCAGAGGAATCTTGCTGAAAGTGCATCGGAAATAACGCGCATGCGCTTTTATACCTTCCCTTGTTTGGTCGCAGACGTGAGCAATCCTGTTGGTTGGGACATCAGTCCGTCTTCAGCTTGTTGGACGCGTAGTTGACCTTTAACCTTAACCTCGCTGCCTTACGCATAATGAATTTGCCTGGTTACTACAGTGCTCAATTATGTCGTCCACCCGGTTTGTCTGGTGGTCTGATCCACCGGAATTAATCGATTGGGATGGTGCTCCCTCGACCGTAGTGTGTTGTATGCTGCGTCCAGTTCAGTGTATCGGTTAACTGAACTAGCTGTGATGGGCCATGCTTCCAGAAATTCCCTCGCATGTTTTCTACCCCCACGCATTTCCCAGATCCAAATGGTGGCCTTCTCGATCTTATGTGCGGAAAACAGCGAATTCGAGTCATTTATACTTACGGCGATTTTGTGCTCGGTGATTCATGTACGAAGCTTCCTTCCAGTTTGTCCAACCTAATTTTTGTCAAATTCTCTGCATTTTATCTGGTAGATAACATTATTTTGGTTGCTCTGATCAACTTTGTCCTTATGGTTAGAAACCAGTTTCTTTAAGGCGGCACTTGGTTTGTGGGCCACCGAAACGCCATGTGACTGTACTAAGCTTCCTGTCAGTTCAGAAACGTTCTTGATGTACGGGAGCACTATTCCTTTGTTTGTCTGCTTTTGTTGCTGCTGCTGCTGTTGCTGAAACGTTTGTTCCCCTAAACTTCTTTTGATAAAGTTTCTCGGACAACCGTTGTTTTGAACGCGTTCAAAGTCTATTCAACAGAGTAGCAACACTACAGTACAACTGAAGTGAGAAGTCTAGAAGACAATCACTTATATCGAATATTTCAAAACTTACGTACACACTGTTCGGCCAACCGCTGCATCTCACACGTTCCGTAAAGAATCTCGGCGTACACTTGCACTGCGATTTCAGGTCCGTAGACAACACGAATAAGCTATATAGAAACGACCTGCGCTTTCTTTGGGCGCCCAAACGCAGCTTCTACATTTGGTATGGAGAGATTGCCTCGTGCCTCTTTTCTTCCATCATAAGACCGATGCTTGGGTACGGATCACCCGTCTATTGTTTGATCACCCGTGGTGAGATGCAAAGACTGGAACTTGTTCAGCAGGTGGCTACTAGACTCATCCTCATTTTACAAGGTGTGCCGTACGAAGAACGAATGCAGACGACTAGGGCTGTACACCCTGTCGTATTGTCGGTTTAGAGTTTACCTCATTATGATGCATCGGATATTACATCTGGGTCACTACCCCATGCTGAGGTCATTGCTTCACCTGTGCATACCAAGCAGCACTCGCGAGCACCGCTACGAACTAGTGATACGGGACCTAAACCGGATAGCTCACCCACTATGCTTCGAGCGCCGAGTGGTGGAATATTGAGACAGTTTGTCCGCGAAATTTGTCGAGGCAAGATCGGTGTCGGAATTCAAGCAATTCCTAGACGCCCAATTTACACTTCCAGCTAAAAGGAGCGCATCGCCTCCGAATAGCCTATGGCGCAGCTGTAATATGCAGCAGACGCTCAAGAATCACTGACGAAACTGTGCTCGAAGTAATTACGATGGAGCAACACGGACGCATCTCTACTAGCTCTATTTTCTGTATTAAGTATTCACCAAGTTGGTTATAATTGTTTTTTCCTCCTGCTCTATACGAAAGAGTCTGGTAAAACAGCTTCATTTTTTCAATTTCGGCTATTGTGTCTATTGTTTTCTAACAACCGCTCAGCGTATTTCGATATACGTTGCTGTACTAATTATCGCCTGCCATTCTGAAAGGTACTTTCCGTGCCTATTTTAGAAGGCTAGTCAGACTTGACTTATCCTTCAACGCGATCGAGAACTTGAGAGGCTTACTTGAGCTGTCTGGACCCGAATACAGTCTTACGGTTCTTCAGCTGCAGGGAAACCGCATCGCTTCGTTAGATCACTTACTTCATTGCACCTCGGATTTGATTAATCTTCGCCAGCTGACGCTGATGGATCCACATACGGATGCAAACAATCCCGTTTGTCTTTCTGAAGGTATGTCGGCTGGTTGTGTCCTTAGAGTTACGTTCACCGGATAGCTACTCTTTCGGCTCAATTCTTTGTTACCTTTCACACTGATTTCAACTCTCATTGCTTCGGTGCTGCACGTGAAATAAGTGCCTTCTCACTATGACTGTAACCGTCGCCTATGGCGTCATTGCGCTTTTATCGCACAGTGCAAAAACAGGAGCACTATGTTGCTCCTCTTATCCACATTGTATACCGTCTATGTCGGTCTTTCTTCGAAGGCATGACGCGTCTTCCCAGTAATCCAGCGGTCATCGGTTTTAATCTGCGTAGGTGAGGCCACCTTGTAGTGTATTCTGGCTACGCGCGACTAGCGGAGTCGCTTCACAGCTGTGCCTCGGTGCAGAGCGCCTGCGTCCTGTGGATGCCTTTCTTCTTCAGCTTGTTGTTTCATTAGTGCATGTTGTTCGTTGTTTCTCCGCATTGGGTTGGCCTTCTTTGCAAACTGTCGTGGTAAGTTCTTGTCGTTACCCACCAGTTAGCGAATTTTCGTTGACAGTGCTTCTGTCTGCTGAACTGTACCCTTTTGTGAAGGTATGATCAACAGTTTTGCCCTGTGTTCTTCCGTCCACATTACCGTAACTAGGCTTTGTCCTTCCCATAGTCACTGTTACTGTTTTCTAGGTAACTTGATGCTTACTTTGAACATTGAAAATTTCCAAGGCCGCAATCGTACCATGATGTTAACGCTGTACTTTTACTGCGTCCGAAGATTGAGCCAAATGCTTAGGAAACTTCTGACCAGTATAACCAATCACTTCCACCCTTCACCTTTTATCTTTCCGTCTTACCTGAACTCAAAGTCCTTCACACTGCAAGCTTTTAATAATCTTTCATTGCTTTTAGGTTACCGTTCAGCAACGCTGGAAGGCTTGCCCCAGTTAAGTATACTGGATAACTTGGATCGTCTTGATCGGCCGTTACAAGTCAATGTTCTTTCAGACGTTCCTGGTCAGTCCATTATTACCTGTTTTGTGCAGTTAAATCACGTGGTCCATCGGCTCACATGCACTAGATCATCTATCATCTCTCAGAGCCTGTCGAGTCCACTCTCCTCTTACAAAATACGTGGTCCTCTGTTTGAGCATGTATACTTTTTTATCCAATCAGGGTATCTGCGTGCTTCACTAGATTATTTCTACCACAGCTCACTGCGATGCACTGGGTTGCGTCTGTTCCATTCACTGGCGTGATTTCTCAATCATGTAGAAAGATAACAAAACCCAGTTGTCAGTTGCACGTACGTGAAAAGTTGGGCTGCCCCGAGCTGTTGTTGTATATAAGATACTATCCATTTCCAACTCAGTCGACAAATTCCTGCTCATATTTACACCCAAATGTATAAACTGATCAAATCGCCTGCCTGTAAGAGTTTCATAGGCGTAATCCAAGCGTTCACTTTCTTAAATGTTGTAAATTCACGTGTTTGTGCATTTAATTGAGGACTTTACTCCGTATAGGCTTTATTTTACCCTTTGGTCTCGATTTGTTACTTAGCAACTACCATACTAGATCGCTCGTCAGTTACACAGGTACATAAGTCACGCTTCCCGGATACAGATTGTTCGGTGAAGATAGAAATTCAACCACCAGCTGTGCATGAGGGTCCTCGGTAAGAGTAATCAACCCAGCTAGCACACACCGTATTACGATGCATTCAATTGCCATGAATCTTGCTGTTATGACGGTACTTCCACGGTGGCGCTGAAGTTGAACACGAAAACATCCGAGTCTACTGGTGAGCCGGAAGGAAAGGTAAATGAGACGCGTTGTGATCATCGAAAGGACTGGCCATCAGTAAGACCTACCAAACCAACCACAGATGCATTGGTTACTTTCACCGAAGGAGAACCAACCACGCATCATCTCTTCACCCGGATTATTCTCTCTCTCTGTCCTTCTCCCTCTCCTATTTCTCTTCTTTTCGGCTTAAGCATTCAGTTAATACTTACTGTCACCAAATTCGCTAACACTAAAATCTGGCCATATCTCAACTTCATGATACCGTTTCACACTGTTTCCTAGTTCGAATACCGTATCAGCTTGACCAACAGACGCCGATCTTTCATACTTTCCAAAGGCGCTTACAAGATAATAGCGTTCGAATGCATCCACGCAAAATGGATTAGGGTTCCGGTGACAAAGCTGAGACTTTCACGCTTTCGGTGATGACAAGTGAACGACTTGTGTTGTTTGCGGTGTCGATATAACCCTGTTTGATCAACTGTCGGAGACAAAACACCTCATTAGTTGTGTGGAGGCCGCAATCTATCTTCTTGACAACAGCAACTTCTTTTTCTTGGGTATATACAGCAACTACTCAGCAGCACCACATTCAACAAAAACTTTCGCAACAATTTACATGGCGGTCATCATTGATTTTAGACTGGCCAAGCCGCTGTCCCATGGAGGCTGCAGTGACAGGCATATCCGGAACCGGATGCCGCCAAGATATATATATATATATATATATATATATATATATATATATATATATATATATATATATAATCTTTGCGGCATCCGGTTCTGCATATGCGTACATGGCGGCTTCCTCTGCCTAGGCAACCTTGAAGCTCGCTGCCCACACAACACATAAACTCACTTAAGGCTATCCCTGACTGCGTATTTTCCCTCTATCTTGTTGTTGTTACCAATGTGTTAGTGTAGTGCCAACTGTTTACTGGTCAAGCGACCGGCTATTCCTACTGGGTGGATTTCAACGAGCGCGTTGCTCGTGATGCTGCGGTATGGACAAACATAATCGGGCCGTATGGTATCGGCACAGCCAAAGGGAACGGTGACCGGCTGCTGTCGCTGTGACTCACTCACGGCCTGACGATCACGAACACATTGTTTGCACTGAGTGCGAGTGATAATGCTACCTGGATGCACTCACAGTGGTCACGCTCACCTGCTCGACTAGGTCATCGTACGCCAACGTGATATCCCTGAAGTGCGCGTGACTAGTCTGTTGCGTGGAGCTACGTGTGGCCCTGACCACAAGTCGGTGCGGACCAACTTATACACATATTTTCGCACATTTGCGTAATACTCACATGCTGTGAACCGGCGCAAATTCAATGATTTTTCACTAGATACTATTGAGAAGAGGACGGAACTGCAGAAGGTGATGTCGCATCCACCGCTTCAGTGAGTGACTTGTGGAACTACATCCGTGAAAAGTTGACCGCTGCTGCCGAGAAAACGATTAGGCGCGCAAATTGTACGCAGCCCGGTAGATATGATGACAACAGTGTGACCAATGGCGCAGCATTCGCTGCACATGTGTCAAACGTTGCCGACTCCTAGAAGGCAAGTCATTTTCGCAACCTTCGACTGGGGTTTTCTCGAGAGCTTCGCAGCATCAAAAATGCAAGGTGGACGCAGAAGGCGAAGCAGGTGGATTGCTACGCCGAACACTGCCAACATAACGAATTATTTAACTCCTTACAAGCTGTGCATGAACCCTTGTTGCAGCCACTGAGGACGCTGCTTCAGGCGCTGCCTGTTCACAGACTGCAGATATAAAGCAGATCTGGCGAACGTAACTAAATAAGTTTATTCTCGATTGTTTCGAGGCACGCCAAACCGAGCATGATCAAAATTGGACAAGCACTGGCGTTCGCCAAGTTCAGGATAAATTGCACGCAGGAACATTGAAATGTAAAGTCACCTTGTAAGAAGCAGCATAGTTAGCGCTGTGTTGCTAATGAAGGATCTAATGTGATTAACAAAAGTACGTAAACACTTGGGAGCGTACCCATCTGAATTGGTGGTGTGTGAAGTACGAGACTCCAGTGTGATGCAAAGGGCAGTGACTTTATTTGGTGGTGAGTCACATCCGCCACGTCGCAGTGTTGTTAAGCAGACATCTGTGGCTTTTTATAGGGAGAACGCTTGCTAGGCGAAAACCCACCACGTCCTGGAACACTGTCATCAATCGTAACTTGAGCCAAATGTCACTGGCAAGGCTGCATTCGGACCGATTTATCTCACATCTGCTCCCAGTCACGCTGCATCCAATATCTTTCGTTGGCTGACAGAATTGCTTAGTTAGAATGCACCGTAGATGGTTGAGCCCAGCGATACTGTCGAAGGTGTACATTCATGGGAATGGAGCAAGAGCATTGTGCAGGTTGGGAAGGATTTGGAGGTATTGGTGTGTTTTGTATGTTTGCGTGTCCATGTCCAGGCGGTTGACCCACGGGCCAGGTGGGTTGCATACAGGTCCTCCGTAGAGAATCTTCGCTGTTAATCCTTCCATTCTTTAGATGGTTGGGAAGAGAAAAAGGAATCCTGAGCACTTCTGCCAGGAACTCCGACTAACATGATGTAAATGCATTATTAAAGATGCTGCAATGTGTGAATGATGGCCATATACATAAGGAAAATTTATAGCGGAAATATTGTTTTGAGCTTATCTCTAATACGACATGAGTATTAGCTAAAATTGCAATATGTCAACCGGTGACCACAAGGTGGCTATGTAATCTCGATTGGTTGTATTCGGAAATCACAGGGTTCAGTGACGATATGGCGAGATTTCGACATATTCCATGGGATGAGGATTATCGTAGGGCACATGATGAATATCAAGTACTTGGGTATGTGACGATAGAAAGCTGAGTCCAGTGAAAGCCGGCTAGGATGAAGTGAATATGAACAAGAGACTAGGTGTCGGAGGTAGGACGAACCAGAGTTGGCGCTAGTGGACAGGGTTTCAGCGGCCACAAATGAGGCTGGACCTTACCGTGGTGCGATGGTTTGTGTGCCTCAGTGATCCATTGAGTTATGCTGGATGGGGCGTTTTTTTAGAGGCCAGACAGACTCAGCCTCTAGGTTGGGGTTTGGATTGGGCGTGGATCCTTATTCTTTAAAACGGACTCCTTGTAGCCCAACGCCAAACTTGCTGCCTTGCAGTCAGGTTTTTGAACCAAAGGCTTTGGTTGAGAACCCTAATCGTTCTCCTGTCTAGGCCTGGGCAACCTGACAGTATCCTGCCCGCACAATACAGTGAATTTCTCTTCCAACAGTCTCTTGATGCTCTGGCCACCGCAGAGGATAATCAACGGAACCCTATCTGCTGCATCGAGCAGGGTGGATAGGGGTTTGGATGCTACTGCTCAGGCCCTCCCATCTTCTTATTCCTCCTCTTACACTTTTTCTCTCTTACTGTCCCGTTCCAGCTTCACTTTTATCCCCCCATGTTTTCAACCCCCAATTCTTGGCCCTCCCCCACCTTGCTTTGCTAGGCTTTTACCTTCTGGTTTCAACTCGCATGTGAACGCGGAGTGTCATTCCTGCCCTGTCAACAGACCCATGTCCGAGCAAGTGGTCAAGCCCAGTTCATCGGCTTCCATTTGAAGCCCTCGATCCTCCTTCAGATTGGCATGCCTCAATATACGCACATTGCTACAGATCGGTCAACAGGCAGCACTTGCCCGAACTTTAGAAACCATCTCGATCGATATCTGCTGTTTATCGGAGACCCGCCTGCAAGACTCGAGCTCTGTGCTCACTTTGCGATCCCTTTCAAGTTACACAAGCAGCACTTTATCATTGCGCCTATTCGGTGACGATGCAGCTTCGAGCACCAGTCAAGCCGGTGTTGGCATTACCCTTAGTCCCTGGGCTGAGATTGCTCTGGTTGATTGGATTCCAATTAGTAGTCGGATGTGTGCGGTCCGATTGGCTGGCTCGTTCAAAGCTTCGAAGTCGCGCGGGACTAGTAGGTGTCTATTCGTTGTCGCTGCCTATGCACCGACAAACTGTAGCTATGATTCGGTGAAAGACGACTTCTACCGCCAACTGAACGAGCTCCTTCGACACAGAAGAAGCTCGGACACTGTAGTGCTGGCTGGGGATCTGAACACTCAAGTTGGAAAATTATCCACTGATGAACTGCATCTGAGCGGTCAGCACGGTGTAGGCTCCCGTGATGATAACGG